ACTTTGGTGACTAAACTAAATTTATATTATTAATACGTTGTTGTTGGTGAGGTGACACAACACCTTTATGTTTAAACCAATTGTTGGCCTATATTGTTACCTTATAAATTAAATGTACTAATTTATTACATCTTGGTATAATATATTTTAATAACATGTTTGTTCTATATATATAAACCAACTTTTAATACTTTACTTATTTTGAAGTGTACTAAAGTTATAGGCCATAAATGGGTTTATGGATATTGAATTGGCAAGTAATGCCTGAAAACCATTGCTGTAATTATTTTTACTCTAATAGAGGGCAGCTTAGCTCGGCCGTCATTTGGATGTAGGCTAATATTTGAAATTTCAATAACTCACTGTCATTCGGATGCAATGTTTAATCATGTTGGTTTCGTGTGATCGTTGTTGTAAGCGCCTCGAGGTTGGTTTCTATGGGAGGCGCTATACAAATTTATTGATTTGTCCTAGTGTTAGAAACTTTCGCAGAGCGCTGGTGGCGCTCTGCGAAAGTTGGATAGCGCTTTGTAGCAAAGTCAGATGTGTGGACTAGCTTGTACAATAACTTAGGCGGAACTTTTTTTATTACTTGTTTCGCGTATTGATTTTTTAAAGATCATCGGAGGAGGGCGGAATAAAAAGAAAAATAATAGTTTGTTTTCTTATTTAGCAAACAGATTTTCCAAAAACATCCAGACGGAGAAGAAAACAAAAATAAAATTTTATTTGTGAATGTAAAATAGGATGGTTAAATGCTTCAAATTTATATAATTAGAAAGAAATATACATATCTTATCTTTGTAGATTTCAGGCAGCCGAGGGCGTAATAAAAATAAAGAAGAACTTTTATTTTTTTTTTTTTCTGAAATTCTACTTTTTCGTGGCGGCGGGTGCGCTAATTGGCCAAAGATTTCATGGATTTTTATTTGAAATCGAAATCATCAAAATTTTGCAGTCAGCGGGTTCGCTAAACAAGGTATAAAAAAGTCTCGCCTTAGGCCTACTTCTCGTGTCTAAGCAGGTCCAAGCTACCAGCTATCGGCCGGGGGTCAGAATGCAGATTGCCTATTTCCAGATTATTTGTGCCTGTAGATAGGAAATAATAATAATAGGCCTATCTAATATCAATTAACACTTCGGCATTATTTGCAATAATGTTGAAAATTAGCAATGAATTTTAAATTAATGCATGAATATTATAAATGTTTGTCACTGTAATTTAAAATAAAAGAATTTATATATTCTAAATTTGATGTAAAAATAAAATTAATATTTTTAGAAATGTACATGCACTGAAAATTAATATGTCTTTATTGTAATATATAGCCTAACAAATGTGTTGTAAGTAAGGTATACAAACTAAACCAATAAAAAACAAACTAGATGGGATGGGTTTCATTCATA